ATTCTGAATGCCTCATATTTCTGGATTAAAGTAAGCGCCTTTGTCTTCTTAACTTGAGTGTTTCCTTCATGAGTCATTCTTAGAGAATTAAAAATGGACTTGGCAGTGTCTATATTTATTATCTTCTCATACTCAGTATAAGAGATTGCATTTAGCAGTATAATTATTGCCTTTTGCTGATTCTTATAATCTTTCTTTTGTTGATCAGTCATAGCACTTCTTTACACTTTTTCTCCTGCAGTATTAATGGGATGACTGTAGCAATCAACACCAAGATCCCAAAGATCTACATCATATCCAATAAAGAAACTTTAGATTCTATCTTTCCAATAGTCAAACTCGTCACCATCAAAGACTGGTGATTTGGCACTGTAATGATCTTTCTCTACTAGAATAGCACCAGCCGCCATTGTTTATCACACATACACACTGGATCAGTACTGAACACGGTTAAGTGTTTAATAAACTTTTATCACAATTAGAACCAGAGCTCTGATGTCAATTGAAGGTGATAAAAACACAAGAAATGAGGGGTTTGAATTGGGGTTTTCAAAAATAAAAGCTTTTTACTCACTCAATAAAACCACAACTATTCAACAACAAAGAGAAATACGCTTCGATTTTTATACTGGTTCACTTGCAAATCTCAAAGTTAATCCAGTCCATCCGCCAAGGTCATTTCGCCTTATACCCAAGGACTTAATCCACTATAATCAACTAATTACAACTGCACTAGAAACCGCTGGTGACTAACAAACCACAAAGACACACAGTCTATGTCTTCTCAAGGATTCTGACCGAACTGGTCCCTTAAGGAAATACAAACAACAAATTGATTACAAGGTTGTGTTTACATATATTTCTTCTATATAAGCAGGTATAAGCAAGTTAAAAACACAATACACTTGAAGAAAATTTTAGCACAAGTTATGACAACAATCTTGCATGTGTGTGTTTCTTCAAGTCTTCAAGTTTTTATATAGCCAATAAAAAAAGATCCGTTGGAGGGCATATCTGGTATTCTTCATGAATGAGTTGGCGACTTGAGTAATGATTTAATACAGAGGGGACAAGAATCGTACTATCTCAATTTCTTTACTCCATGAAATCCGCTTAGTGGAAGGAATATTGGTTTGTACTATGTACTATTTTCCCCACGTATAAACTTGTTATTATCTTCTGTTCTTTAGTGGATTTTGGATAAAATGTTGTTTGAAGCATGAATTAGAAGAGTTGATTTTTCTTGAGTTCAGAAACTTCAATCATCAATCAGAAGCTTGTTCACATAAATATCTGACTTAAGATTCTTCAGAGTTTTAAAACCTTCAGAGCTTATTCTTCAAAAGCTTGAGTTCAGAAACTTCAATCATCAATCAGAAGCTTGACTACATCAATATTTGACTTGAGATTCTTCAGAGTTTTAGAACCTTCAGCGTTTAATCTTCAAAAGCTTGAGTTCAGAAACTTCAATCATCAATCAGAAGATTTATCACATCAATATCTAACTTGGGATTCTTCAGAGTTTTAGAACTTCAGCGTTTAATCTTCGGAAGCTTGAGTTGTCTTTAGAAGTGAATTGATCAGAGTCACACATTAGAAGCAAGAGCCAAGAGAATTTTACAGCAGCAACATGCAGTTTCCTTAGAAGCTTCTCATTTGTGAGTTTGAGCAGAAGCAATTTAGATCAATATATTCAGAAACTTGAAACGTTTCATGTTCAAGAGTCAGAATCAAAGTTGTTTGCTAAAGATACATAATAACAAACCGTTAGGGTACCAAAATTGTTCTCACATAAATACTGACTAGTTATCATTAAAACTTAGAGATACAAATGCAAAACCAAATCTTGTTCTAATAGATAGGAAGTGAGAGGGGGATCTCATATCTAGAGGGTGTCTAGGTAGAAGTTGCACAAGGTAGTGATTAGGTGATGAGTTGTAAACGGGGGAGTTTAGCTTTGAACTAATATTGTCATAGTGAATTTCCTTGCCGACTTGGTTGCCCCCAGATGTAGGTGAGTTGCACCAAACTGGGTTAACAACTACTAGTGTTATTTTATCTTTATCCCATTTAAGTTTCTGCATATTTACTTATGTGATCAAACTGTCTTAATCCTAGTATTGTGACATCTGTCTCGATATCTGGTATCTACATGCCATAATTTTAATTGGCATCAGAGCAGGTTACCCTGTTTTGTTTTTGGGTGAGCTCCAGGTTTTTTTGGCACTATGGACAAGGAATAAGGAGGGAATATGAATAGACCACCTTTCTTGGATGGAACCAACTATGACTATTGAAAGACACGCATGGTGGCTTTCTTAAAATCCATGGATAGAAAAACTTGGGAAGCTGTCATCAAGGGCTGGGAACATCCTGTGGTTAAAGATAAAGATGGGAAGGAATTTTTGAAACTTGAAGAGGACTGGACCAAGGAAGAAGATGAGTCTGCTCTTGGAAACTCCAAAGTCTTGAATGCCTTATTCAATGGAGTTGACAAGGTAATTTTTTTTTGAGCTTATACATTTAATTTCTGAACATAATAAAAATTTTGATAGGATTTTAAAACATTTAATTTCTGAACATAATAAAAAGTTTGATAGGATTTAAAAAATACTCGTGAAAGTCTTAAATTGATGATGTTAGAGACAATTTATTTGCCATTTTAATTGATAAATCTAGAGATATATCCATTAAAGAACAAATGTGTGTTGTTTTGTATTATGTCGATAAAAAAGGAAATGACATTGAGTGGTTTCTCAGTCTTATTCATGTTGTAAATACAAGTATTATATATTTAAAATTAACATTGAAGTCATTGTTTCCAACATATAATTTAGGGTTTTTCAAAGAGTGTGCAGACAAGGTTAGGATGAAGATAGTGATATGCAAGATGAATTTAATGAACTAAAAAGTTTGATATTGAAATAAAACATTTCTACATTTTATATTGATTGTTTTGCTCACCAACTTCAAATAACATTTGTTTTTGTTGCCAGAAAGCAAGTTGATATTGATTTTTTATTTATTTATTTGGTTAACAATGTATCTAACCTAGTTGGAGCTGCATGTAAACATTGAGAGATTCTTAGAAAAAACTCAAACTTTTAAAGTTCAAGAAGCTTTAAAGATTGATGAAATTTCTAGCAGTTTTGAATTGGATCAAGAAACTACAATTAAACGTCTTGGAGATATAAGATGAGACTCACATTATGGTACATTATTTATCTTGATCTCATTGTTTACTTCAGTGATTAATGTCCTTGAATTTATTAAGAAAAATGGCTTATCATCCGATCAACAAATTGAAGGATGTCATTTATTGAAATCTACACAATTTTTTGAATTTATTTTTAACTTGAACATAATGAAAATATATATTTGGAATTACGAATTATTTATTTCAAAAATTACAAAGAAGTGATCAAGATATTGTAAATGTCATATCATTAATTAAAGTTTGCAAGGATAGATTACAAAGTATGAGAGACAATGACCGACATACTTTACAAAATGAAGTATCATTATTTTATGAGAAACAAAATACTAGCATTCCAAATATGGATGATTCATTCATTACACAAGGAAGATCGAAGCTTAATAATTTGAAATCTACACTGTTTTTAAGTTGAATTATTTTATGAAGTGATTGATAGACAATTTCAAAAGTTTAATAATAGATTTACCAAGGTAATTTGATTTGCTTATTTGTGTAACAAACTTAAATCCAAGAGATTTATTTTTTATATTTGATAAGGAGAAGTTGATTGACTTGATTAAATTTTATCTATCAGAATTTTCTCATGTAGAATTTATGGGGCTTGATAGTTAAGTTGAGACTTTCATCGTAGATCTTCGGTCTGATGATCAATTTTCAGAACTAAATGGAATCACCGACGTTTTTAAAATATTGGTAAAAACTAGAAACCATATTGTGTATTCAATAATCTATTTAATGTGAGGTTAACTTTCATTTTACGAGTAACAACTACAAAATGTTGAATGATCTTTATCTATCATAAATTTTCTAAAGAATGGTTTGCACAATTATATGGGAGAAGAGTGGTTAAATTATTATATATATATATATATATATATATATATATATATATATATATATATATATATATATATATATATATATATATATATATATATATATATATATATATATATATATATATATATATATATATATATATATATATATATATATAAAATTAATTAATTAATTACTGTGGACAATACAAAATTCATTCAATATTTTTAAAATATGAAAATTCGTAAACTCTTATGTATTTTAATTTTTTTTTATCTTTTCAATTATGTATTTTGAAATAGTTTAAAATATTTTTTTTAGCTAAAATATATTTATTATATTTTAATCCCCACCATATAAATTTTTGGATCTGCCAAGGGTTATTGGGTGTCAATATTAGTTTTTTAATTTATAAAAAATAAGTTAAAAATAACTTTAGAATTTTAAAAAAGTTTTATAAAAATCATTTAAAAAAATATAAAGTAAATCATTTATTTTTAAAGTTAAAATAAAAGGTACAAAATCACATTCTTCATTCTTACAAAATATTATAAAATCAAAACAATATGTTTATAGTGTGTTTATAGTGGTTTTAATGTCAATAAAATTTGTGTTTAAATATTAACTTTTGATTAAATTGGGAGATATGTAGGAATATCAAATATAGAAGTGCAAATTTAAATCTACAACATTAAAAGGTAAATTCTAACCAATAAACTATTTAAAAAAAATAAGTCTGAAGTGTTTTTCTTTCTAAAAAAAATAAAATAATGCGTGTATAATTAGTGTTAAAAGCATATTAATGAATAAATAGGAACTATGCATATGCATGAGGAAATACAAATAAGAATGACAATTTTCCTTCCTTTAATTATCCAGCATTCGAGTTCGCAGTCCTAATTAATTGAAGCCAAAGTAAAAAACAATTTACCACACATACTATACATAAGTACAAATTATTTAACTATGCAAGTTTTATATTCAATCTCCTCAGCCATATTGAGTGTAAGATCATGTGAAAAACATCAAATCTTTTAGCAGGTTGATTTAGAGTAAAATGTTTCCTCACAGCCCTTACTCCATTTTTGAGCTTCCTATACTTGCTCTCTGGAATACCATTAAGAATCTCTTTCAGCCTAGGAATATCTGAAACATCCACCTGCACTGAAAATGCCTCCCATCGCAGCACATCACTGAAGGGCAACACATAATTAGTAGATAGAATCACAGGTACACATTCTGCATAAATTGACTCCACGATTCTTGGGCTAGCAACTTCATGGCCACTTGGACAAAGGCAGTACTTAGAGTTTAGCATGAAGGAATTGTAGTCTATCCCTTTCGGGAGATACTCGTACACGGCGATATCACTATCTTTGTTTTTCCAGTATTGGAGAAGAATCGGCCGAATTGGGCCGTGCAAACCACCCGCGAAGAAGGCTAGATATTGACGTGGGGCGGAGTCAGGTGGTGGTGTAAGGAGTTTAGGAGATACTTCACCTCCATAGAGGTAAATTTCTGGTAAAGAAACATCCTTTAGTGGATTGAAACCTTCAGAAGTGTTGGCATTGCACAAGACACGGATTGAGGTATTGTAAAGGAAAGCATTGCCCTCTGTTGCAATTGGACCCTGCATAATAAATTAAGGAAACAAAAAAATGCTTCAAATTCACAATAGAAAACAGTGTAGTTTTAATGGGAATTAAAAAAAAAATCTGACGTAAGAAGGGAATTGAATAATTATATTAAATTACCCAATCATGACAAGCAAGCATGAAGTGGTCAGCACCATGAGTTCTGTTCCAGAAGGGGTGTCTCATAGATATGACATTCACGTAATCGGAGACAAACTGCTTTAAAGGAGTGAGGTCGTAAGAATAGGGTGATGTATAGAAGTATTTGACCATCCATGTCACGCTGAAGGGTAAAAAGTAAACGTGAGCTGCATTAGGATCATTGGTTCTAAACTTCCCAACTCCGTATTCAATTTCATGGAGGAACCTTCCTTCAATGGAGTATATGTCCTTACATGGGCCATCATGAACAATTGGTAGGTCCCCATCTGGGTATACATACACCTTGAATATCTTCTCCATCTCCAAGTAGCTCCTGTAATAATAACAACGTAATTAGGTTTTAGAAATGGATTAACCTTTTTTAAGAAAACTAAAATTTTCCTGCAGAATAGTGTGGTCCTCCTGTGTCAGAACTTAGCATAGTCATTGAGAACTTAGAATGTGACATTGACCCAGAAACATATGGAAAGCACATGTTAAAAAACCTATAAATATAAAATTTGTATTGAAAAAATCAGTAAATTTACTATATACTCATTCTCTTTTTAATTTAGTAATAATTTTTTTTTTAATTATATGATATAAATATTATTCTATACACTATTTCTAATATATTAATAAAACTAATTTAATAAAAATGTAATTTTTTATAATAATATCATTACATTTTTTAATCTGTGTGTAAGTTATTTTAAAACGAATAGAATAGTTAGGAATCATGAAAATATAAGGCAACAAAATGTCATATTTCTTAATATACGTAACGAATAGAATAGTTAGGAATCATTATTCGTTAGGAATCATGAAAATAAGGGGCAATAGAATAGTTAGGAATCATGAGTATGGGGCAACAGAATTCCATATTTCTTAACGTGTAACGGATAGAATAGTTAGAAATGATGAAAATATGGGGCAACAGAAATCCATATCAATGATTGTGATAAATTAGGGCCAATATTATTTCCGTGCAAGTTTTTATCATTAAAGTGAGTATGTAGAACTCTTTAAGCAAATGAATACTAGCGCACTCAGCCACTCCTAGTTTAGCTATCGTCTCTTGCAAGAAAAAGAAAACATATCATAAATGCTGTAGGAACTGTAACTTATAAGCAAAGCTCTGAATAAGCTTTCCACGCTTTAATGTTGGTATTATTACTATTATTATTATTATGCTAAATTCTTACTGTTCGGTTTTAAAAAAAAAAAGGAAAGCTCAGTTATTTTTTCTTCTATAAATCATTTTGCCTGTTTTAACACATTAAATTTTTTTATTAATTTTATATGAAAAATATAAAATATAAGTTATTTTCCAAATTTATCATTTAATGAAAAAACGAATTAAAAGAATAAATAATTTTTAAGGGTATTGCTAAAGTAATATTAATAATTTAAAACTAAAATAGAAAAAGTATGGTATACTGCATTTGACTATTAATTATACTCTTGCATAGTTGCATTAAACATAAATAAAAGTTTCAATATATTGATTAAAACAAAAAGTTCAAAGTAGTTTCCATAAAAAAAAAGTCAAAGTATTTGATTATTTTTATTTATATTTTTAACAAAAAGGAAGTGTTATATAACATTTTTTTATAGTGCATTGAATATTCTAATTGTATAATATATTATGCATTTTATTTGAATTTAACTAAATTTCTATTTAATTTTTAATTGTACTTTGTTTTGGTAAATATATATAAGCAACAATCATTATATATATAAGTCAGTGATAATATATATAAGTAACGATCATTATCTTCAATCTTCATTCCAAATGAAGATCAGCACAAAACTTCAAAGGCTCACACGAGATTCAAAGAAAACAACACTTAAACCAGGGATTGTTTTCAAGATGTGACTTGAGCTCATAACCTATGTATTTAAATTTAAATTTGAATAAAGTGCACTGTTAAGTACACATTCATAAAAAAAAAATGTTCAACTATTATATGATTGATTGTTATTTTGAACTTTATTTTATATTTTGGTGTAGATTATTATTCTTGTTATTATTACCATTATTATTTCATTAAGAAGAAATTAAGTAAATGAGAAGGAAGAGAGGATATACTGATAAAATAAGCGCGGGTTGTGATAAACAGCTTCAGCTGAAACGTATTCGTTGTTGCGTGATGTTGACGAAGGAGTCAAATTTCTTCTACGATCTTCTAATGCAGCTTTCCGCATAGAATCTCTCGCTCGAGCGAGTTTTTCTTCTAGCTTCTCTTCTTTACTCTTGATCATTTTTCTCACCTTCCTCTGTCAACACACACATTCTTCAACATTATTCCACAATCCATGAAAACATTAATCAATTCTCAAACGCACATAATCAACAATTAAAGAATCTAGAAACAAGTTAGTGATCGATCAATAATTGAAATTGATATTGAAACTGAAATTGAAATGAATGAACCTAGTTAGTATTGAAATTACCGTTACGGTGCTGTTTGAGTGACCGGCGTGTTCAACGGCGAGGAGGAAATCGTCTCCGCCGGAAACTCTTGTTCGTAAGTTTTGAAGTGAAATCGAGAATGGCGGCTTCAAGCCGATGATGCATCTCATCAAATTCGAAGGAAGCGCAATGAAAATCACAACGAACGATGCTAGTAAGAGCAATATCAAAAACAAATGTCCATGACGAATCTCCATTTTCTTCTTCAATTTCGTTTTCTATAACTTCTGAATATTTTGTAGCGTTTGCTTGGTTCAGAGCAATGATGGATATGAGCTACGCTAGGGTGATGGAAGTGTTATAGATGTTATGATTTCTTTCTCTTTTCGCTTTTTTTCGTTAGCGATCAGTATCATGGTGTGTGGGGAGGCACCGGTAATATTTGAACTCGGGAGAGGTCTAAGGAAGGGTTTGACCTAGTGAAGTCTAATGAAAAGACTCTTTTAGCCTCGAGGGGATACAGGTGGCACGTTACCAAGGGTATGTTTTACTGTTTAGTTTAAATTATGAGCGAAATTGTTATATCTTTAAAGTTTAAACGGCTACGATAGCGGCAACATTAACTCATGCGGTTTTATTTTATTTTTAATTTTTTTTAGCTTCTTTATGATCGATTCATAACTATTTTTATTTGTTGATGGCAAACTGAGAATTAAATTATGGTCAATAAATTCAGATTATTATTCTACAACAACCTCCTCCCTTTGAAATTTTTATCATATAATTGGTTGAAACTAACTCAGCGAAAATAATTGTCACAGGGTGACCTATCACTAGAGTAATAGTTATATAACAGTTATTTAATTTTCTCTTTCAATAAATAAGTATTTTTAAATGAATAAATGGTTGAATATTTAAATTTTGAATTCTACTCCTAACCACAAATAGATTCAAGCTTTCCAAAACTTAAAGTATACACTAGACAACTTTTTAATTTCTTTATATTTTTAGCTAAATTATTTTTCAATGCACTATCTTTTAAATTCCTTTACTTGATCAACACTTTACATTTGAAACTTGGGCCAAATTCATCTTCTTCACAAGCTTTCTCACAAAAAAACATGCTCATGATTTTTGAAACATATGGGCCAAAATCGATTAAAACCAGGATAAATGGAAATATCTTCCCATTATAGCTTTTTAAAAGGAAATTCGAAAGTTGAATTGAAGGATTTTTTGATGTAAAAAAAATGTAATAAAAAATATGTTGATGATTATTTGGTTAGATTTAGGAAACAAATAAGAAAATGTTTTGCACCCAATTAAAACTAAAAGTGGTAATAAAATGACTACTATTGAATTAGACTTTTATATAATGGAGAAATTGATCAATCAACATCTAGTCAACTTAGTCTAACTAACTGAAAAGATTGAACTTAGTCTCACTTGTTGGAACAAGCACAAAAGTTTGTATGTGAATTAATGGAGGTGATGGATAATTTTGGTGAAATTGGAGGATTGAGGAAGATGAAGTTTAGAGAGAATAGAGATTAATTGAGAGGGTAAAAAATTCATATGGCATTAACTCATTCAACATGTTACAAAATGTATATATAGTGCCTACTAACATTAAACAAAGTAACAAATAAAAGCTAAACAAAAACAGCCTAAAAACAGAAGTATTTTTCTGGTTTTTCCTGTAGCATTCTGGCAGCTTTTCCAAATAGCTTCTAATCATAGTTACATTGCATTTGACTTATATAACATCCAATACACCATCTTAAGTCAAATGCTCGATGTTCTTCATCCCCAACTTCACCACGTGTCGCGTGAAAACATCGTTTGTAACCGATTTCGTCAACAAGTCCGCGACTTGTTCTTTACTTCTGCAGTAGCTTAAACGTAACTGTCTAGAACTCACCAAATCGCGCAAGTAATAGAACCTCATCTCAATGTGCTTGCTTCTCCCATGTGCTATGGGATTCTTAGCAAGGTTGATGGCTGAAACGTTGTCCACCAACAACAAAACTCCCTCTCTCGCGCAGCTGTCCAGCTCACGCAACAGATTCACAAGCCGCACAGCTTGACATGCACACATCGAAGCTGCATTATACTCCGCCTCGCAAGAAGAGAGAGCAACCACCGGCTCCTTTCGATAACACCAAGAGATTGGTGCACCGCCGAACATAAGACATAACCCGCCGTTGATTTTTGATCGTCTTTATCTCCGCACCAATTGGAGTCGGTGTATCCAAGTAAATTGCAACTTCTGCCTGTGTCACTTGCCAGAAACAAAATTCCACAACCAATAGTACTTTTCACATAACGAAGGATCCTCTTAACCGTTGTCAAGTGTGATACCTTTGGCTTTTCCATGAACCTACTAGCAATACTGACATTAAACGCCAAATCAGGCTGCGTATTGCACAAGTAACGCAATGATCCAACCAATCTCCGGTATTGAGTTGGATCCACATCTTACTCTTATCACTCTTGGAGAGTTGTAACCGTGCCTCGGATGGAGTTATGGCAGCATTGCAATGCTCCATATCACACCTCTTCAAGATCTCCGTTGCATACCTTCTTTGATGCATGAACAGCCCCAACTTTGTCTTTTGGAACTCTATGCCTAAGAAGTATGTCATAGCACCAAGGTCACTCATTTCAAATTCCCTCATAAGCTCTTGCTTAAACTTTGAAATGTATGATTCAAAACTTCCGGTAATCAACAAATCGTCCACATATAGAAAAGAATGATCACCCATTCGCTAGCACCCGTTTTCACATACACTCCATGCTCGGACACGCATTTCTTGAAACCAATATCGTTAAGAAAACCATCTATGCATTTGTTTCAAGCTCTTGGAGCTTGTTTCAAACCATCGAGTGCCTTCCTCAACTTGTAGACTCTTGCCTCTTGGTCTTGAACAACAAAACCCGGTGGCTGTCCCACATACACCTCTTCATTCAATGGACCGTTCAAAAATGTCGATTTGATGTCCATTTGATATAACAGTCAGCTGTTGGTATTTGCAATCGCAACAACTAACCGGATGGTTTCATGTCTTGCAACTGGTGCAAATACCTCATCAAAATCAATGCCTTCCTTTTGCAAAAATCCCTTTGCCACTAATTGAGCCTTATGCTTGATTATCTCACCTTTCAGATTTGCTTTCACCTTGAAGACCCATTTCACACCAATTTCCTTTTTACCTTTCGGTAAATCAACCAACATCCAAGTATTGTTTTTCTCAATTGATTCCAGTTCATCCTTCATTGCACTCATCCATTTTGGATCGCTTAATGCCTCCTCCGTATTCACCGGTTCGGATTCGGCCATTAAAGTGAAATGGATGAGATCACCATCATGATTGATCTCGCTATCACGAAATACCTCACAATCTCTGAGTATTTGAGGCATACCTCTCTGCCTCGTTGGTCGTCTATTCGTTTCACCATCCTCTGTTGCGAATGGTTGCTGTCCAGGATCATTAATAGGCTGGAAATTCAAATTTCCTCCCAAGAAATCGATTTCTGGGCCTGAATTTTGACTTCCAGCAGCACCAGGGGGCTCTGTCACGGGCTGGAAATCGATTACCTCATTTGGTAAATCGATTTCCTGTACAGAAACAGCAGAAATTTTGCTGTCAAACGTCCAGATTTCGTCCACAACCACGTCCCGACTTACCACAATCCTCTTGCTACTCATATCAAACAATTTGTATCCTCCGGTAGGATGATATCCAACAAGTAACAACTTCTCACCCTTATCATCAAGCTTCTTTCTAAGCTATCCCGGAATGTGTCGAAATGCAACCGAACCGAAAACGCGCAAGTGGCTCAAACTCGGTTTGAATCCAGACCATACCTCTTCTGGAGTTATCTTTTCCAGCTTCTTTGTCGGACACCTATTCAACAAATAGGCAGCTGTGGATATCGCTTCACCCCAAAGCTCTTTCGGTAAATTTTTGCCTTTTAACATGGTTCGTACCATGTTCATGATTGTCCGATTTTTTCTCTCCGCAATGCCATTTTGTTGTAGAGTGTAGGGAGGCACCACCTCATGGATTATCCCATCATCATTGCAATAGCTCATAAACTCACCGGATGTGAATTCACCACCACCGTCCGTTTTGAGAGTTTTGAGCTTTTTACCGCATTGGCGCTCAACCATTGACTTAAACCGTTTGAACACTTCAAACACCTCATCCTTCCTCTTAATGAGGTAAATCCACAACTTCATACTAAAATCATCAATAAACGTGTCAAAGTATCGATTGCCACCGTAGGAATTGACTTGCATCAGTCCGCATACATCGGAATACACAACCTCAAGGTGATGCTTGGTCCTATGACCCACATCCTTGCTGAAATTACTCTTGTGTTGCTTCCCGTGAAAACACTCTTCACATATTTCAGCTGGAATATTAATCCTTGGCAGCCCGGACACCATACCATGTCTTGGTAACGCGTCGAGATCACGAAAGTTGAGATGACTGAGACGGTAGTGCCATAACCATTCCTCACGACTTGCAGTAGTAGCTAAGCACCTATGCCCCATAACTTTCAACTCAATCTTGAAAGTCCTATTGGCAGACATAGGAGCCTTAAGAATCAAAACTCCATTTTGGTCCAAAACGCGCAATACTTTGTTTTCCATGCGAATTGTGTAATTCCTTTTAAGTAATTGGCCAATGCTTAAAAGGTTACACTTAATTCCAAGAATGTACAAAACGTCCTTGATCAAGGAATGACCATCATCCCTCCTCATGATCAAGACATCACCGACACCGTCGGCCGCCAAAGTCGTATTATCCGCGAATCTCACTCTACTTCGCGTGGCTTGATTGATCTTCAAGAACCAATCTTTTCTACCCGTCATATGCATCGAACAACCAGAATCCAAGTACCACTCATCACTACCTTGGACTCCATCTCGAACCATTACTAATGCGTTTTTCTCCGAACGCATTTTCTGCAGTTTTTCTGCACTTCAGTAGTTGCTGTCCAGCAACTTTCTACTATTGTCCATGCCATTATTCTCCTTCGTAATCACCACAAGAAGTGTGCTATCATCATCCACTTCTTTCCTAGAAACCTTCGCTTCATCCGCATCACTCTCCTTGCGCTTGAAACGGCAATCTCTTGAGAAATGTCCAAGCTTTTGACAATTGTAACATCTCTTGGTACTTTTGTCGAGCGGCTTGTAGTTGCCTTGAATACCATCCTTGGAGGTTCCTTCACCTCTTTGTCCTCT